GGATTGAACCCAGGGCCTACACACTGAGCTGTATCTGCAGGTCTTTTAAAATTTATTTTGAAACAGGATCTTGATAAGTTGCCCAGACTGGGCTTGAACTTGTGATCTTTCTACCTCAGCCTCCCAGAGAGTGGGATTACAAGAATGCCACCATGCCCAACTTCATGAAACTTAAAAAAAAAAATACTGAAATATAATTTATAGCATTCACCCTTTAAAGAAATATAGTTATGTGGCTATTAGCATGTTCACAAGGTTGTATGACCATTACCACTACCTGTTTCCAAAACATTTTCAACACCCAGAAGAAACCCTACTGTTAGTGGTTATTCCCCATTCCTTCTTCTCGTCAGCCAGTGGCAACCACTATTTCTTCTGTCTCAGTAAACTCCTTTTTGGATCATTTCATATAAATGAAATCATGCAATATGTGGTGTTTTGTGTCTGGCTTTTCAGTCAATATAATATTTTCAAAGTTCATGTTGTAATATGAATTAATGTGTTTTACTAATGGCTGAACAAGATCCATTGTATAATATACTATAGTTCATTATTTGATGGGCATTTGTATTGTTTCTATTTTTTGGCTAATATTAATCAGGCTGCCATAAATATTCATGTATAAGTTTTTGTGTAACGCCCTCTTTTCAGTCTTTCGGATGTGTATCTACAAGTAGAATTACTAGGTCATACAGTATCTCTATGATTAACTTCTTGAAGAACTGCTAAACTATTTTTCAAAGTAGCTACCCTGTTTTTACATTGTATCTGAGGGTTCCAGGTTCTTAGGTCTTTTTCAACACTTGTTACTGTCTTTTTAAAATTAAATCCTCGTGAGTATCTCATTGTGATTTTGATTTGTATTTCCCTAATGATGTTAAGCATCATGTATTGGGCATTTTGTTTGGAGAAATATCTACCAGATGCTTAGCAAAAATTTAAATTGAGTTATTTATCTTTTCATTGTTGAGTGGTAAGGATACTTGATAGTTATTAGATATATAATTTGCAAGTATTTTTTCTGGGTTGGTTTTTACTTTGTTCATAGTGCTCTCTGGAGCATAAAGTTTTTAATTTTGATGACATCCAATTTATCAATTTTTCTTTGTTGTTTATGCTCTAAGTATCATACATAAGAAACCATTGCCTAATTTGTGGTCATGAAGATTTATGCCTGTTTCTTCAAAGAGTTTTTTAATTTTAGTTTTTACATCCAGTCTTTGATTCATTTTGAGTTAGTTTTTGTTTAGTTTTTGTTGTTGTTGTTGTTGTTTGAGACAGGATCTTGCTGTGTAGGTCAGGCTGGCCTTGAATCCACTACGTAGCCTAGGCAGGCCTTGAATTCATGACAGTCCTCCTGCTTCAGCCTCTGGGATTACAGGAGTGCACCACCACGCCTGGCAAGTTTATTTCTGTTATAACATAAAGTAGGGGTCCAGTTTCATTTATAGGGATATCCTTTTGTCCTGGCAGTACTTGTTGAAAAGATTAATTTTTCTCCCAACAAACTGTCAAGGCATTCTTGTTGACAATCAGTTGACTTTAAATATATGGGTTTATTTCTGGAATCTTTTCTGTTTCATTTATCTTTATGTCTGTCCTTATACCATTACCACATAGTCTTCATCACTGAAGCTTTGTAGTAAGTTTTGAAATCGAGAAGTGTGAGTCTTGTTTTTTTTCAAGAATGTTTTGCTTATTTGGAGTCCTTTTGATTTCCATTTGAATTTTGGGACCAGTTTGTTGATTTCTGCAAAAGCAGCTGAAATTTTGATAGAACTTGTAAGACTCTGTAGATTTGTTTGTTAATATTGCCATCTTAACAGTATCTTAAGTCATCTTAATAGCTACACACACACACACCTGACTTCATAAGAATTTTAAACTCATTTCAACTAATAAACTAGTTGCCTTGTATCTGATGTTTACTCTCTGGTAGAAAGGAAAGGAAAGTGGAAAGGAGAACTGTGGCTTCCTTGAACCAGCTCAGACAAATACTTGTATTTCAGAGCCATCTTTTTTGTCATTCTGAATGCCTTCTTCCTACCCCTGCGTTCTGCTGCAGAAGCTAAGCCAGAAATATCTTCCTTTACTGGGACATTAGGCCTCATAAGAATGATGTTCCCTGAAGCTTACTTCTGAGACTGTCCTCAGCAGAAGGAGGATTTTCTGCTTGGTCCCTCAGAAGCTATCTGGGATCCTGATAGATTCAGCTTCCCCCTAAAGACCTGCCTGAGCAGAGCCAGTGAATGCACAAGTTGGCCCCATCTACTCTCAAGTCACACATCTGCCTGAGTCCCAAGAATATTCTCTAGTAATAATTTTTTGTGTTAATTTGGTATGACAGTGAGGTATAGCAAATGCAGAAGTTGGCAGGAAACCTCACCAAATGGGTGAGATCAGAGGGCACCATTTTGTTCTCTTTGGACAGTTAACTGCTTTTGGAATGAAATTTGTCAGAGTTGAAGTCTCTTTTCTTTCTTAAAACTTCCTACGTAATTGGGAGTTTTTGTCTTTTCACTTAACCTAATGATGCCACAGTGGTCCAGATTCCTTGGTCACACATTTTAGTAGCTGGCTTCTATCCTTCCTTTAGGCCAGCTCTTATCCTTACAGGTATTCTGAACTTTTCTTTCTTTTCTCAGCCCCTTAAATCCAGTTCACACTTGAAACACTTGATAAAACAGTATACTTCACTGAATGACTTTCGCATGAATTAGTGTTTTTTGTTTGGGTTTTTTTTCCTCTCTTTCTCTCTCTCTTTCTCTCTCTCTCACTCTTTTGAGATAGCATTTGGCTGTGCAACCCAGACTTGCCTTGAACTTCTAATCCTCTTGTCTCAGCTCCCAAGAGCTGAGATTATGTATGTGCACCACCATGCCCAGCCATAAATTAGTTTTCTAAGTAAATGAACCACATACCTTTATAAGATATTTATTTTTAAAACAACCAAATTTTTCTGCCAGAATACTAAAATCATCCTTCTATTTGTCATGCATAACAACAATGAATATTTAAGTAATAAATGATATAGCTTGATGTCATGCCCCCAAAGAGTGTGGAAATCATCAGTTTATTCTCCTAGAGTAACCAGTTTTGAATGTATTTTTGCTGACATTGTCATACATATGCATGGTTGTGCCTCCTTCCCCCAAATTATAACTTATATACGCTGTTCTGCTCCTTGCCTTTTTCTTTTAGCACAGTATCTTGGAGATCATTCAATTCCAGTACAGACAAAGATGCTTTGTTTTGTTTCTTTTTTTGCAGTGCTAGGGATGGAACTTGGTGCATTCTAAGCAAGAACCCTACCCCTGAGCCACAACCCCGCCCGAGATGCTTTCTTCTTGATGGCTGAATAGGAGTCCATTACTTAGCCAGCTGCCTATTAATGGACATTTTGCTACTGCAAATTGTGCTGCAGTGAATGTTCTCTTATGAACATCGTTTAAATTTGAAGATTATTGCCAGATTTCTCTATATTCCTTCAGCAGCATATAAAGTTAGCTATTCCTCATGTGGTCCCTCCTAATGTATTACTTAGTTCACATGTGTACTCTTCTATGAACTGTTGATGTCTTTTATCTGCTTTTCTGTTCAGTTGTTGATTTTTTAACAGATTATAATTCTTTATAATCTTAGAGACATTAGCTTTTGTGATGTTGTTGCAGATATTTGCCTTATAACCATGTTTTTGACATCTCTATCATCGTCTGCCATTTTTTTACTTTCTGGTATCTGCATGTGTTAACATTGTTTATCATTAGCAGTTTCTTTCTCCTTGGTTGGAGCAACCTACAAAGACAGGCATACACATTGAGCCCCTGAATTCTGCGCATTGGCCTTAAGATGGTACATTCAGGTTCTTGGTGGTATTTTTTACAGACTCCTGGTTTCATATGCATGGAACCATGTATCCTTTCACATCTATTTAAGATGTCTGCATATGTGAGATGATGGTGTATCAAAGGCAAGCCCAGAAGATGCTGTGCTTATCAGACCGACGCAGTGACTTGTGCAGTCTAATCCTTATTCTCCAGTGAGCTCTGTATCGTTTTAGCACAGTATCATTTGATTCAGGTTTAGTTAAATGTTTTCTAGTCTAAGTAGCCTATAAGCCTGCCAAGTCATTTGACTCCCCTCACCAGCAAATGGAGATAATACCTACATAGCAGTTTGTGATAGTGATTAAATGAGGCTGGAAACATTCAGAAGGAAGACAGAATGGAGTGGAGTGCTTTCCTTTACCCTTCAAATCCTACATTTTCTAGATTGAAGCTTTCTGTCCTTTGAGTGGTAAGGGTAACTGTGGGTTTTCGGGAAAGAAAAGAGCCCCAGATATTTGGTGACATTGTGCTTGATCTTAAAATGTTACCTAACTGGCTTCAGTTTTCTCAGTTGTAAGAGGAACATGAAGGCAAAAGTTGTATTAAATCAGTTTCATAATAGCTTGTGTCCTCCATCAGAGAAAAGCAGCCCTCCTTAATAAAGTGTTTTTCTGCAGCTTATGTTTGGCCTTCAGAGCTGGCACAAGTATGGGATGGTGTCATATGCTGAGGACTTGTTAACGTTACTCAGTGTTTCTGAACACTGAGAACAGGTGGAAGCCTTTTATCTCTACATGTCCATCTTGTGCCCTGAGAGTGAGTAGGGAATAATATAAACACTGGTCCCTCTTATGAGGACAGGGAAGTAAACCCCCCTGGGCAGCACTGCAAGGTGTTTGTTCTCCAGCCCAGAGCTGGTGGGGAACAAGCATGTAGTCAGACTCAGAGTAAAGTCCTACCTTTGCCTCTTGACCTTGAGAAGGCATTTCACCTCCTGGAGCCTCACTTCCTTTGTCATTTTCCTTATCTGTAAAATGAGGCTGACAAGGGTCTTGACTGCACAGGGTTGTTTGCAGGCCTGATGATTTCTGGGGGTAAAGCCCCAATGCCCAGCATGTACATAAGGACCCCTCATCTTTGAAAGGTTATGAATAAAAATCCTCTTTTTTGCAGAGGCCCCATCCTGTGTATCGGTTGGAAGTACCTCCCTGAGTGGCCCATCCATTCACTGCCCACCCGCCGCTGTCTGCATCGGCATCCTTCCAGGCCTGGGAGCCTACTCGGGGAGCAGCGACTCTGAGTCCAGCTCAGACAGTGAAGGCACCATCAATGCCACAGGGAAGATCGTCTCCTCCATCTTCCGAACCAACACCTTCCTGGAGGCACCCTAGCTCCTATCCTTCCTGCAGGGAGCTCCCCCTAGAACGGTCAGACCGTCCATTTTGCCTCCAGGCATTACCTCCCTCCAAAAAACTCCTTTGCCAGCCCCCTATGCACACCGTGACACTTTTAATCTCACCTAAAAATGTGCCAGATCACTTGTGGCCAGAACTGTGTTTGGTCTCCTTTCTGCTGTAGTGCAGATGACCATACCGGTCCCACTGCCTGTTCTTCTCTGACTTGGTAGGGTGGGTGTGGCCCGCAAAAGCTCTGCCTGGGAGGATCTGCACAGCTAGCTAGCAGAGGGTGCTGCTGGGTTTTGTTGCTTTCTTGTTTCTCTTTTTCCTTTCCCAACAGCACCAGAAGCAAGCACAGTTGTTGCACAGGTGTTATTTAAAGTTTATTGTAGACAAATGTGTTGTTCAGTTCGACTGCATTGTGGAGCATGTGGAGACAAAGCTGACCAGTGGGGAAATGGAGCACTTCCCTGGATCTAAGCCCTCCTTGATGTCGTGATGTCGTGTGCTAAGTAAAGATAATGAAGTCCATCTGCAGGGATGTCAGTTGACTGACACCAGCCTTCATTGTGAAGTTTGCCTTACTGTTGGCCACTCCTTTCCTCTCTCCATCCAACCTCATTTGTATAGGAATGGGCTGGTAATGAGCAAGCTTTTATCTTCTATTCAGATCTTTTCTCTGCCTTGCAAATTATTTTGTTTTTGATTTTGAAATAAAAGATTTAGTTTAAGATTTTAAACCTTAGAGAAACAAGCAGTGGCCTTATTTAACATGGCCAGAAACCAGAACCATTGGTGTGTATGTCAGCGAGATGACTTTTCTAGCAGCTTCTGCAATCTGAATACTCCAAACTTGAGGGGCACACTTGCATGTTATGACTGCTCAGCACCCTACTGAGGCACATCTCTGCTTCATGCTTATTATAGTTGTGGCTTTTAACTGTGGAAGCCACTGCAAGTCTAAAGGTGCTGCCCTAGCACATTTCTTTTATCCACTGGCCCACTGCCCTTTCCTTTCCCAAACAGCAGGTCCAAGGCCACAGGCAGCCAAGAGCCAGAGGAGCTGTGCCCCCTCTGTCTCATAGAGGGAACCGGGCTCAGCCCTGAGTGGGTGAGAGGAAGGTGTGTAGAAGAGAGGATATGGAGTCCTCAGGGAAGAGGTGGACATGAGCTTTAAAACAATCTGAATGTCCCCCTGCCTCAGGAGAGTGAGCCTGTACAGCTCTTTCTTTCCCTTGGTTTCTGCATCAATTGTTTCTGCTTCCTCGGGTGTGAGACTGAGCGAGACACACACAGAATGTGTTGACACTGTGATGCTGGCAGGCAGAGAAGCTACTCAGTTTTAATGTGGGCAGAGAGGCTTCTGGGTTTCATCCAACCCACTTCTTTTCCCTTTCCAGTTTGGCAGTACTCTGGTGCCCCACTGGCAGATGGTGGCTTCCCCTCACCCGTAACTGATGCCTTGTGAATTCTGCCTTCTTTTCAGGACTTCTCAGTGTTAATTGTTCCTGACAATATGGGTGCATCACCTCCATTCTCACAAACAAGACGCTTAGGTAAAACTGTGTAGGCACCTTCTGCCTCGATGCTTCATTGTTCCTGCAATTGTGCTGTCATGATTGCAGCACGTACCAAGAGAAACCTGGAATCATTTCAGGAGGCAGGCCAAGGAATCAAAGTCACCATCTTTATGTGGTTTGACTTTGCAGAGGCCATTACTGTACCTCGTGGCCTCTGTTGATGTTCGAAGAAGTTGACAAAGGGTTGCAGAGATTAAAACCATACAGGAACTTCAAAGTGAATAAATCTGTCAGAGAAGGAGCTCTTGCTTCTCCTGGGCTGCATCCTGGGCCTCCAGGTCTCCCATCACAGATTGAGTCTTCAGACTGAGAGATCTGTGCTCAGGAGAGATTAAGTCCCTGTGGTCCTTTCATTGTAGTCTGTTGTGCCCATCAGCATAGAGCCTTGGAACTGAAACAGCTTCTGTAGAAACCATGGGTAGCAAAGGAGGGTCTGTACTTAACAGGGGAAGTGGACTGTGGAAGCATCCAGAGTAGACCTCGTGGTTATGGAAGGAAACACTGCTTAAAACCAAAAAATGTAGTACAGTTGGCTCTCCAAGTTGACTAGTTCTGCTTCTGGATTCAACCAGTTACAGATTGAAAACATTTGAAAAAAGAATCGTGTCTATACTGAACATGCACATTTTTTATTGTCTAAACAGCATGTAACAGCTATTTACATAACCTTTGCATTGTATTACGTATTCTAAGTAAGCTAGAAATGATTTAAAGTATCCTGAGTGCTTCCTTTTGCACTGCCCTCTTCCCACTCAAGAGATAAACTCCATTTGCTTTGGACCATCCCGCTGCTGCAGCTTCTCCTCCCTGGGAACTCAACCTCGTTCCACCTTGCACAGATACACTACTGATGCTGAACTTAGAGCCAGACATTCACTGGCTGTGTGTCACTTGGACAAGGTCCAGAGGGGCCTCACTTTCCTCCTTGGGAAGCAGGAATGGTGCCACAGTCTTCCTGGGGAAGGTAGAAAAAAATGTAGATAAGTTGCTTGGTATGTCACCTGCTGCTCAGTAAGACAGTAGCAGGATTCATTAGTGCTGTTTCCATGGGCCTCTCCACTTCTGAGTGGGGTGTCAGAGAATGCATTAGTGGGGCTTATGCGGGCCTGTTGGTCACACTGGCATTCCTCAGTTAGCTAGAATGCTGAAATCCCAAAGGGTCAGATCTGGTTGTCAGTGCTCCACCACTATACAGCATACAGCCTCTGCTAAATGTTAATTGCTCTGGCGCACCCGGTTCCTTGGCTCAAGTGTCCTAGCCATGGGTATATGGCTCAGCTGTCATCTTAAGCCCCTCCAGAAAAACAAGGAGAACTCGGTGGCAGTGCACAGCCATTTGGACCTGGGTGTTTTCTTGATTTCCTGGTGTGCCCAGCCTGGTTACACATGCCAGGATGTAATGCAAGTTCTGCTCAGTGGGAGGCTGGAATCTTGGCAACGCTTTTGCAGTCACAGGTTGAACACAAGGAGCCAGTCTCAAGTTCATGCCTTAGTGATGCTGGCAAGGGCTGGAGGTTTGCTCTCTTACCTGCTGGAGCAATGGTGTAGGGGAGAGGGAGTCTCAGCAGTGCTGAGCAGAATGTGGCCCTAGCACTGGAGGAAAGCTTTGTAGAAAAGTCTTCACCTGAGCTTTATGCTGTAGGCTGACCTGCTCTCTTTCTCATTCAGTAATCATGCACATCATTGTTCCTCGTGTTGATCTCTCATTCGGTACCTACTGCTATGGATGTGTTAGGCAGCTTAGGACATCTCTGTGTTATTTTAGTGGATGGTTGTGTCTTTCATTCTGCAAAAGATCCTGTGAAGCATTCTTTCTCTATATTTTAATACAGGAAACCAAAATTCCCAGTGGCTCAGTGACTTGCCTGGCAGCTGACAGCTAGCTGACAGAACAAGAACTGTCATTTGAGCTTTTAAGTCTAGCTTTTTGTGACGTCAGTGCATGTTTTAAACAAATGCCAGTCTCCAGGCCAGGGTGGAGTCTTGCTGTCATGTATAATAAGTCTGCCTTTTAGTCTGCTGTCCATGTGGAAGAGCCAAGCAGTAGCATCAAGGCTTGGTGTTTTAAAAAAAACAATGCACCCTTGTTGAAAGTTTAAGCACATTATTTTTCCTGTAGATTGGAGCCAGTCAGGAGTACAGAGCCTTCTTGACTTACTGCTGTAGTCTCAGGCAGAGGGGGCATACAGCAGGAGGGCCTGAGTCTTCCGCTATGTGAGGCCTTTCAGAAGTGGCAGTTGTGGCCCACACCTGGTTTGTAGGAGTGTGAACACTGGGGATGGACTCCTGGAGAGGCCTTTGGACATTGGACTTGATTCTTCCAGGCTGGAGCAGCGCAGATCCCCCTGGATGTGACATCCACTAGTCACTTCAGCTACCAAATGAGTAAACAGGCAGTCTTGTGCTAATGTTGGTCTGGTAGCTGGCCAGGCAAGTGAACCAAAATGAGCTGGATGTGCTTGTACTGGGCTCCATCCACATGGCCTGGATAGTGGAGGCACTCCCTTCCTGAAGGCTCGTCCACAAATCAGGGTTCTGTGCATGCCAGCAGCCCTCTGAGAGAAGGGAAAGAGTCCCTAACCATGGTTCAGTGGTTCCTGGTGGCTACAGAAGTCACAGGATAGAAAGCTTGGGGTGCCCCTCACACATTCCCACCAGCTAAACTGGCTCCCGAGCTTGCTGGGCACCTGCAGATGGGACCTGCCTGGTCCTGCCCAGTTGGAGCAGGCCACTAGTAAGGAGAGTGGGTGGGGATAATTGGAGTGGAGGGACAAGGCCATCAGTTAGCAGCTTCAACAGAAGAAGCCCTCGCAGAGCCTCCCTTCCTGAAGGCTTCAGGAAGGCACTGGATGCAGCAGAATCAGTGTGGGCACAGAGTCAGCCAGATATATATGTATTGTGCTCTGCCTTGAGTAGGCCTGATGTGCTGCTCCACGTGCTTCCATGAATCTGAAGTGGGTCTGGTCAGGGGTTGTTGGAACAGTTCATCAAGATATATCTTAGGTAGGGCTGGGGATGTAGCTCAGTGGCATAGTACTCACCTAGCATGCACACACACACCTGCAAAGCACTCTTCAGGGAGCTGGAAACTGCTTAACAGAATGTTAGCTGTTACTGGTTACACATCAGCCTGTGTCGTGGGCTGACTGGAAATTCAGAAGAGGTAGATGAAATAGGGAGGGGTGTTTTTTATGTGCAAGAGAGGGAACTGGGAGATCAGATGGTTCCAGGGAGTGGTCCTCTGGCTGCTCTCGTAAAGTTGGGCCTGTGTCCAGAAAGGGGAATGCAGTACAAACAGCAGGGATGGAGGCCTAATCCTAACCCTGTTGAGGTCCTGAGGCCAAAGAGGCTCTTGCACACTTCAGACTACAAGGCCTAGGAGACCCAGAGGAAGGGACCAAGTGGGTGGCAGTAACTGCTGTCTAACTGGGGGTCTGGAGGAACATAGGTCATAGTGTGGCCCAAAAGGAAGAGGAAAGGGAGGAAGTAGGGGTTGGCTGGACATCCCAGATAATGGTTTGGGCTTGCAAATTCTACTCATGCACAAATATCACTGTGTACAGTGCCACATTCTGTACCAGTTTCACTGCTGTCAAGGGAATGCAGGTTCCACACAGAAGTGACTACACCAGCTCCATAGGCTTGTTGAGTAGGGGGAAAGGATCTTCCAGTGATGTTTAACCCATGGAGTCCCCACTGAAGGAGCTGACTGAAACAGGGACATCTGAAACTCCTTTATTACCCTGAGTGTAACAAATGGGACATACAGTATAAAAAACAGGAATTGGGTGCAGGCAATGACACCAAGTGTGCACTAGGGACATGTTCCTTTCTGTGGCTAGTTACTTGGGAAGAGCCAGTTATGACTGTAAAAATTTTATTCTCTTTAATAACAATTCCACTAAAATTATACAAAGTACATTCAATACTTATGGGGGGTTGGGAGAAGCTGGTTTGCTGGTTTGGCCTGGAAGCATCATCAGCTGACTCCAACACAGGAAGCCCAGCTGGGCTGGGGTGGGTGGGGGCAGAGGTCCGGTTGTAAAAAATAAAATTGTGGATTGGTTAAAAAAAAAGACCACCCACGAGGAAGCAGAGTGAGCGTGCATGTTCCTGGGGAAGGTGGCATGCTGCTGCTGCTGGGGACAGGCTCAGGCAGGCTCCGAGTTGGTGGGGGGCAAGTTTTTATTCTTGAAGTACTGTACAACTTGTTGGGGCAGCTCCGCCAGGACAGCTTTGGCTAGAGTCTCTTTTGCTGCCTGCAGGGTTCAGGATAGGGTAGGGAGGAGAGAGAACAAGGGTTAATGAACAGAAGTTGGGAGAGGTACAGCACCCAGAGATGTGTGACAACAGGGGCCACACAGGACAGATTTTGGGCTGAGGGGCTAGACAGTCTAAAAACTAGTGGCTCTCATCCCTGCCTGTGCCTCAATCTCTCCATCAGTGTCTTCCTTGACATTTAGTAGAACTCTTACCCTGCACACTGGAGATACCTGGGAGTAGTGTTTTAGGTTGAATTTATCTGTGGGAGGCTTTTAGGGGTAAGAGATGCTGCGCAGCCTACTTAGCTGCCAAGTGTTTTCTGAGCTCCTCCATGGTTGGAGAAGTGGGCTGTGACTGGTTCACTGTGGAACAGCCAGGCATGCAGAGGAACTCAGTCATGGTTCCATACATGAATAGGCAACCGAAGCCCAGCATTTGTCCTCAGGAACCTAATGCTCCAGAGGAAGGGGCCATCTCCAGGAAATCCCAAGGATACTGGGCAGAAATGTGATGACCATGGGTCTCTTGCTGACACTGGCTCCCAGAATCTTAAGCCACAGCACCCTGGAGTGGCCCTTCTGCCAAGGGAATCAAGGCTCAGAGAGGTCACACGGACCACAAACTCTGGCCACTCTGTTCCCCCCCGGGGCTCTTCATAGATACCAACCCCAGCCGCCTTAATGGCAGACTTGGGGTTACTCCAAATAAGGTGAGAGCCACCTCGAGGCACAGGGTAGAGTGCCTGTCTCTCTTGCAGAGACCTTATGGGAGAGGAGGCCAACCTAAGGCCAACCCTTACCTTCCATCTGTACGTTGAGGGGCTGCCTAAGGTGTGATAGCAGGAAAGCCTGTCCTCTCCTAGGACCTTTGCCCTATCCCCTCTATCTGCCTCAAATGCTTTGCCCCATGAGGATAGCTCCTTATTCAGGACCCCACTGGAGGGCGCGTCCTCCAGGGTCCCTGCTGGGAGTCCTGATCTGGACTGGCTCCTGCCTTGCATTTCCTCGGTTTATGGAAGCCCGTGAGAAGCCTGGCAAGGCATCAGACCCTGGAGCTGAGGGAGAAGAATCTAGGGTTAGGCCAGGCAGTCCCAAGACTTTCATCCTCAGCTGGGAGCCACAGTCGCTGGGGCCCTAGGGCCACCCCTGCTGATCCCGAACCCCACTCACGTTGCGGAACTCTCGAAAGGGCACGAATTGCACAATGTCACGGGCTGCTTCCTCGCCAGTGTAGGAGCGCAGCCTGCGGCTGTCCCCATCTAGGAACTCCATGGCAGTGAAGTCGGCGTTGCCCACACCCACGATGATGATGGACATGGGCAGCTTAGAAGCCTGCACCACAGCATGCCGGGTCTCTTCCATGTCACTGATGACGCCATCCGTGATGATGAGCAGGATGAAGTATTGCTGCAGGGAGGAGTCAGCTGGGCACTCAGAAAGGCCTGAGGCCCCTGGAACTCCTTTTCCCTTCTCCTTCCCCTTGCTCCCCAATCCTCTGGCTCCTGGGAGGAAGGCAACAGCTGAATCCCAGCCTCCTGCCTCCTTGGTATCCCTGCCTTATAGGCTCAGTGACAGCCAGAAGCACAGAATGCTCTCCTGCCTGTCTGTCATCTCAGACTCCCTTGTGTACCAGTCACTACACCATGGGACTCTGGGCAACTGGCCTAACTTGCTGGGCCTCAGTTTCTTCGCTGGGGATTGCTGCTCAAAGAAATATGCTTGAGCCAGATGTGGTAATCCCACTACTGGAGAGACTGAGGCAGGAGGATCACAAGTCCAAGCCCAGTCTGGGCAACTTGCAAGACCTTATCTCCAAATAAAATCTATAAAAGGGCTAGAGATGTTTCTCAGTGGTAGGAGGTTTGCCTAGCATGCTCGAGATCTTTCAAGCCCCAGCACCCTAAAAAAAAAAAAGGTAGAAAAAATACCATCCCTGGCATAGTGGCTGTCAGCTGCATTCTTTTTTTGGTACCTGGGATCAAACTCAGGTCCTTGCACTTGCAAGGCAGGCGGCAGAACCACTGAGCTAAATCCCCGGCCCAGTGAGCTGCACTCTTGACAGGCTCTGGCTTGTGCAGAAAGCCTTATTTTGGCTGACAGACTCTGGGCAGCTCCCCTCTGTAGGAATGTCTGCCCTCATTCATCCTCTACTCAGTGCAAGTAGGGGACACCACGAAGGGGTTAAAAGCAAGTCACATGGGCTAGTGTTCTCAGAAGTGTGGGACTCCTTTGGTAAACAAGTGGGATGTAGGTTACATCCCAGACTTGGCATGGGACAGGATCATGGAATCAGGGTAGGAAGAGCTGGCCCAGCAGTGGTCTTTCCGGTCTGTGACCGTGCCCAGGAGGCAGCCTCACTTCCATGCTAGTGTCATTAACATTTGCAAACCCTCCTCAGCAGCAGCAGAGAGAAGACAGAAAGCACAGAGCTTTGCAAGGCAGTGTGTCCAGCTGCACTCTCATTGTCCAGTTTGTTTTATTTATTTTTGCCATTACCCTCTATGCATGGTAAATGACACTCATCTTTTCATATACAGTGAGATACAATATTTCCTTATAAATTATGTTAGTAAAAAAATACTGAATAATGAGTGTGGGTGATGGGAAGATAAAATACAAACTGTGGTGGTTGTGAGGAGGGTGAGTGAAGTTCAAGAAAGCTCAAGGGACAGAAGATCTTGCAGGTGGGCCCAGCATTCCTAGCTGGCTGGCACCACATTCCCAGCCCTGCCCCGTCCCTAGCACCCTCTGGCCCTTTTGGGGGAAACTCAGTTTTTCCTATCCATAAAATAGAGAACCCCTTGGGGTCCCAAGATTCTGAGGGCTTCAGCCTTCTAGACTGACCCTTTTGGTTGTCAGAGGAGAAAATGGGCCAGACTGTCAAGGTCACAGAGCTAAGGAGCGCTGAAGTGGCCCCAGGTTGGCCAAGGCCACAATCTTATCCTGCAAAATTGTCTCCTCCCCAGGGAACTTGCAGAAGCTACAAGCTTAGCCCCCTGGGGTGTCTTGCTTCCCTGTCTGTGCCCAGAGTACAAACGAGGGAAGCAGTGGGGTGAGACAATGGTGACACAGGCTCTGCCATCCTCACTCTCAGCTCCAGGTAGCAGTAGTCCAGCTCTGGAACTGTGCCTTTAAGAGACCAATCCCTTTGCTGAGGATACCTGTTGCCATGGAGATTGGCAGCCTGAATCCCGCAGTGGAGGGCTGCTGCTGCCATCCCCTAATCCTGGGGTTTGGGGGCCTCACAAACTCACCTAGACCCTGTCCCCACACGGTGCACCACTGTTCCGGAGACCTTTCCCTTGGGTGGCCCTTAACTACACTCTCATCCCACCAAAATTAGTCCAGGGCAGTACTTCTGGGGTACCTGGTTTGGCAGGAAGGAGGCACAAAGAGGCCTGGCAATGAGGAAAGAAAAGAATGCTGGACTTTGGTCTGATGGGCCTCACCAGTCAGTGAGTGGGGCCTGTCTCCAAGGCCCTGGCAGTGCCCACATGCGGTTCCACCCTCTGTGTGTGGCCCTTCAGCTCTGGCCCCTGTTTCAGTCAGCCACGTGCTTCTGGGAGGTCAGGGATCCCTCCTTGCCTGCAGTCCCCTCCCAGGGATTGAGTGCAGACAGGGCCCAGGTTCCTGCAGGACTAAGGATACCAGTGGACAGGCCATGAGTCCCTGGAACCACACAATGACAGTGTTGGCAGACACTCCATCTACCTCCCATGTGAGTCTCATTTTAGAGATGAGCAGTAGGGCTCAGAAAGTTTAAGTGACTTGTTAAGGCTCCATAGCCAGGAAGTGGCAGTCCAGACTCAAGCCAAAGTCTGGCTGACCCCAGAGTTGGAGCTCTTTCCATAATGTCCCCTCTGCTGCCCCCTTGCACTGGTGGCCTGTCATGGTTAGCCTGGCTGGGAGCCCCTCTCCTCTCACCCAGCACCCTGGTGTCTGAGGGCCTGTATGCCCAGGACAGCATCCTGCATGGCCAGGATAACAATCTGGCTGGAACTCTTCACTCCTGTGTGCCAACCACCAGCCACAGTACCTGCACCATGTGCCCAGGCCTGGGGTCGGCAGCCTTGGCAGCCTTGGCAGTAGAAGTGCAGCCAATGGATGCTGGGCTTCTCACCCAGCCTTGGCAGAGCCAGGGCTGTCCTGGAGCCTCATCTATCTATTACCACCCAGGAGCCCACAGCTGAGCCCCAAGACAGATCAAAGGGGAGGTGGGAGGGGCCTGTGGATAGGGAGAATGACAGGGAAATACGGCAGGTGGGGTTGGAAGGGGCTTTGCACGCTCTCTATCCCCACAGAGCCGTGGGCCACCAGACTACCCCAGTGTTCTGCCTCAAATGCCTTTCATAGTCACTTCCCTCTGCCTGCTACACCTTTCCCAGCCACAGCTCTAAGACTTGAGCGCCGACTTCTCCGTCCCAAGCAGATGGTTCCAAGCAGCCCTAAAATTGTTTCCACTGACCAGCACTGACCCTCTGGAGGCCTCCTCTGCACACTCCTCCTCCCCACGTCCTGGGCATTCCCCAGGACAACCCTATGCACACTCTCTGCATCCTGTGGGTCTGACACCCTGTCCGGAACCCAGAAACAGCCCCTGACCATTGTCAGGTTGACTCCCCCAACCCAATCCCAGCACATTCCAAGGACGGAGACTCTCTTGCCTCAACTCAGGGGTTCTTCAGGTTTCTAGGGCTGCAAATAGCTGCTTATCCTGATGCATGTAGCATGTGATTAGATTTATGAAAGAGGGACTTGACCGCAACAGTTCCAGGAAGAGTCTGGAGAAGTTATGCCACACCACACCCCCTTCCAGCATATTTCTGAGAAGTTGGCTGCCAAGTCCCTCATGATGGGGGTGGAAAAAATCCCCAGGGTGCTGGCTGCTTTATGGCTCTTCCTCCATGGGGACAGGAGTTGCCTAGGTCACCAACCAGGAATGGGTCATGAACAGCAAGACCCAAGTCTTAGGAGCCAAGGCAGAAGAAAGGATGAAAAACCAAGACAAGAGTCCCCCTAGCCCACCCAAACCTGCTTAATACCTTCCAGTGGGCCCCCACCCATGGGAGAAAATCCAGACTCCTCAATGGCTCCCAAGGTCCCTACCTTTCCAACCTCACAGCCCTCTTACACCACATGCTATCCTCCAATTACCCAAACGCCGTGCCCTCTGCCTGGGACAGTCCACACACATGTTCTCCAGGAAGCTAACTCAAGCATCCCAGGGCTCAGCTCGGGTGTCACTTTTCTAACAATCTTTTCCCAGGGTCTCCATCTGGTTAGGTGCCACCTTTGTGGTCCTGTACTGCTATCACAGTCACACTGTGTCACTGCTGATACCCCCAAGGGAGGGCACGGGCCAGACCTCGCTCACCATGCTCTCCCTTGCGCTGTGCAGAAACTCACCAGGAAAGACATGTGCGCTGAATGAATGGGAGAGGCAGTCCTCCCTGGAGATCCTCCACCACCTGCTTTCCATTTCCTGTATGTGGGTGTGCATGTGCACGCATATGTCTGGGGACAGGGAGGGTGAAGCTGCACCAAAGACTCCCCTCAAACCAAAACATGGCTGAACAAAAGCATCAGATAACTCCACATATTTCCTTCTGCTGTGGCCCTAACTGCTCGGCATCGTCAAATGCCACAGGTGTCCCTAGAAGATCCAGCCACCAGGCAAGCACTCATTTGTGTGCCAAGCACTGGGCTGAACAATTTATTTGCCCATCTACTTGAATCTTCTCAATACTTCTAGAAAGCATGTACTGCTGCTTATGTGAGCAAACAAGTTCAGAGAGCTCAGGCTGCCTGCCCCGGTCACATAGCCAGGAAGAGGGGGACATGGAGTTTGAAACAGTTCAATGGGCCCCACTACCTTGCTTCTGGTGCACCCTGAGATCAGGGTGCATCACACTGTGATGCAGGCAGTGGCAATGGCTGGCTCCTGGACCTCAGAGTGTCAGGGCCAGTAGAGACCCCTGGCCCAACTCTTTGCAGCTCTGAGATGCTGAGAGATGGTCCAAGGTCACACAGCCTGGGTTGGTGACAGAGCTTATCAAGGGGCAGGAAGCTGGGAGCAGTAGGGAAGACAAAAAGGAAGCTTGGATGCCCAGAGGAGCTGGACTAGATGTCTCATGCTGTGTCTCAGGCCAGCATGCTCAGAGGAAAGTTCTCCTGTCCAGGGGGCCCTCAGCAGCTGTTCCCTAGAACACAGAAAGACCCTTCCTGCCAGGTGCAGTGGTACGTGCCTATAATACAAGCTACACTGGAAGCCAAGATTTGAGGATTGCAACTTGGTGAGACCCTTTCTCAAAGTAAAATTAAAACTTGGGCAACTTGGTGAGACCTTGTCTCAAAGTAAAATTAAAAGGGTGGGGAATGTGGCTCAGTAGTAGAAGAGCCCCGGGTTCAATCCTGAGTACTGGAAAAAAAAGCCATGTTTCCTGGCTTCCCCTAGGGCCCCACCCACTCTCCATCCTGGGGTCTACAAGGCATGGGCTACCTCTGCCAGGACTCCAGGTCTTGCTGGGTCCTCCCTAGGCTGGGCAGGTGTAGCAGGTGAGAGACTGGCACTAACGCTGGGCTGTGTTCCCGTTCCCCGCCCCACTTGTTTCTCCTGGAGGAAAATCCAGGCTTTGTTCTGAATCCCTCTGAGAGCTCGCTCAGGCTGCTAAGAGACTGGGTGGGGCCATGGCCTGGCATCCTAATGGGAGTGAGTAGAGGCTTTGAGCTGTGGGCTGCCTCTTGCTCCACCCTCTCCAACCTGTTCTACTCCACACCCCCAGGAACTAAGAAAAATGTCCCTCCTGGGCCTTCCTGAGCTACTTCCCATTTAGGGGATCAAGATCCTCACCCCACCCACCCCTTCCAGGGCTCACTACTCCCATTTCATAAGAGGAAAAGAGGCTAAGAGTGAGGAAGGGACCAATCTTAGGTCTCAGCTGCCATGGTCCAGGACTACAGCCGATGGATCAATCACACTCCCACTGCAGAGGTGCCCAGCACCCCTCCCTCCCCACACTGTGACCTCCTTCGTCCCTGGACCCACCTCAGTACTTTGTGCTGTGTCATCCCTAGGCTACTTCCCACTGAACTCTCTGCTGGCCTGCCCTTCAAGTCTTTTAGGTGCCAGGTGCTGTTACCTCACTGGATCCTAATACCACTCCCTCAAGACAGGCCCTATAGTACTCCCATCTGCACTTGGGCACACAGTGGTACACTGTGATTTGCCCCAGGCACATGGTGAGAGACAGTGGGGGCCATGGCAATGGGCAAATGGAGAAATCTGGGATCATAGTTTGGAGTACAGTGAAAAGCTCCAGCTTCCTTTCCCTTTCATTGGAAGTGGAAACCAAGGCAGGGGCTGGGTTTTGTTGAGGCCTCCCCAGGGGTGGCAGCCAGGAGAGAAATGGACTCAAGTTTCCTTGGCCTAGACTACAATCCACCACCTCAGCGCTAGGTGCCTACCATATAGCTTGAGTCTGGAGAGGAGGCTGGGGACGGGGCCTGGGAACTCCTACCTGTGGGACTCACTGGTCAATCGGGCCCAGTCAGGTCCCTGGAGTCAGGAGAGGGTAGAGGGGATGTCAGAGGCACTGCCCTCAGGGGAGAGGCAGAAGACCCTCAACCCAAGCTGCAGAGCGAGACCAGAACCACTCATGAGGGTAAGGCAGGGGGACCAGGGATGCCAAGGATTGCCCTTTGCATATATTCCAGATGCCATGGCAGCCATGGCAGCATCAGGCAGGCTACCAAGGCCCTGGCCTCATGACTGAGCACTGGGCAGGGCCAGACAGCTCTGTAGCCCTCAGTGCAAGGCAAGGGCTGCTCTACTTGGACCCAGATGGTCTGAGAGGGGCAGCTTTAGGCCCTAGGGATGGTCTCCTAGCTCCCATCTGACCTGGGAGCCAAAAGTAGCTCACCCTGGGGAGGGCTCTCCCTTGATCACAGTCCTGCTTCCTGATAAACACATATGAAACTTCTTCCTGAGTGTGAGCTCTGGGAAGCCACAACCCATCCAGCTGAGCTTGGTCCAACCACATTACTAAACAGGTAAACTGAGGCATCATTTCATCTAGGCTGTTAGAACCAAGGGAAGGTGGAACATCCTGCTTGCCAGCCCCACAGGGGCAGGAGGGTGAAAGCACAGACCCCAGCCTGGCCCTCCCTTGTGTCAGGCGGGTGCCCAGCCACAGCCAGCCACATCCTCGAAGGTACATGCCCGAGCTGCCTACTCACCATGGCTGTCTGCTGCTGCGTGGCCTGAGCTGCAAAGCGGGCCACGTGGTTCACGATGGGGGAGAAATTGGTGGGGCCATAGAAGCGGATGTGGGGCAGGCAGGCCGAGTATGCCTGGGCGATGCCGTCCACGCCTGCCTCGGAAGAAGACTCCAGATCAGGCCAGCACCCCCCCCCCAACCGGCCCTGTGCCTGCCCATACCCCAGTGCTGCTGAGCTCTCCCAAAATGTCAGGAGACAGGAAGCCCCAAGGGCAGGGCAAAGTGGTAAAAATCTAGAGCCCCACATGTGGAGTCACAGGGGCCTGAGCTGGAATCCTGCCTTGGCCACTTCCTGGCTATGGGTTCTGTCTCCTTGTCTGTCCGTGGCACTGTTAATCTACACACTCTTGGGTGACTGGCATGGTGGGTCTGGCAGCCCCTTCCCAGAGAAGGGGCTTGGCAAAGCCTGCAGTGACCATGGAAAGCCATGCGGATGTCCACTCTGGACACTCGCCAGTGTTAGCTTGGGGTGGGGACTGTGATGTTTGCACAACCCCGTACACACTAGGTGTTCAATAATAGCTGCTGTTGGAGCCCACAAATATCCCACTGTCCTGTGCTCCTGCCCAGAAGGCCTCTGACAAGGGCTGAAGTCGATCAACTTACTTGACACAGTCTCTGGAGAGATCAACCCCAAACGAGACAAACCCCTAAAGGAGCACAAGGCCACGTGTCTAGATGTCCATGGTTTCCAAGTCACAGCAATGTCTCCAAGCCGGCAACTCAACGGATTTTCTTTCTCAGTACAAATCTAGCCCGGCTTTGGGGATCCCCAGGGTAAGTAGATGCTATGGCCCAGGCTAAATCCTAGGCTAAAGGGCCTCATGATAGTGGGGACCACACTCTTCCATACCCTCCTGGGTCTCCTCCCTCCCCTCCCAGTTTCTGAAATGTCCCTGGGAAGCTCAGAAATCCTCAGAGGCCTAGTGTGGGGTGAACGTCCATTGCACTCACTGCCTGGCCTGCCTCCAGGCCTCTACCAGGCCACCTTCCATCCTGGGCTGCCATGGCTTTTCCTGAAGGGCTGGAGGGCAGGCTGGGCCTCTCAGCAGGGGAGTGAGATGGGCAGCAGGAAAAGATGTGTGATGTGGCCTCCTCCTCCTAGTTTGCATGAGCTTCCTGTCAACTGCTCCCTGTAATTCTCATCCAGCCACTCAGGGGAGTGAGGTAAGCAGGGCTCACAACTCCTGGGGCAGGGAAGGGGGCAAAGGCTCAGAGAGGTGCAGTGACCTCCCTAAGGCCCTGTAGCCAGGAAAGGGCAGCAGCTGGCTGGCCTTGAACCCAGCATTGTCTGACTCCAAATCACAGCTCATCCCACCCGTCTTTCTGAACAAGTGTGACAGGGAAGGGATGTAAGATAGGGACAGAAATCTGTACCCTGCCCTCTGGCTCCTTTACCCAGAGAGATGGCTGGGTCATTGTACACTTGGGACAGATGTAGGCGGGGTGCACTCACCCGAGCAGAAGGGGTTGGTGGGGTTGAAGTTGATGGCAAATTCATGGGAGACCTGAAATGCAAAGGACATGCTGAGTTAGCAGCCTCCTACCCCAAACCTGCCCAGGCCCCCCTGCTGCCAGGCTGAGGTTCCTTGGAGGGCACCTGGCTTTTTACCCTGCTGCCCCACCTCAGATCTAGGCTGCTGATCCTCCACATTGACTTCCACCTCCACCTCCAGGGCTGACTCTCAGAGGCCCCACACTCTCATTCCATTATGGGGAAACTGAGGCCTCCCATAGAACCCCCTGTCCCTCCAGGCTGCCTGTCAGATGGAATGCCCTGTGGACTGTGGGGTGCGGAGCACTGAGAAAATGCCCCTTCATCCTCAAGGCCACTGTGTAAAGGCCCATAATTAGAGGGCCACTTGCTCAGGCTCCCCAGACCTTGGCAGTAATCAAGGCACTCGGGAGGAAGCCCACCTCAGGTGGCCACCTGGGGTGAGTGACACTGACCCCTCAGACCAGGGGTTCAGTGCTACGATGGGGCTGATGAGGGAGCATGTGAAGCTGCAGCAGTTCCCCCAGGGACAGGTTCCACATCTCTGCTACATGTCCCTACCCTGGCCTAGTGGGTCATAAAAACTGACCTCACACACTCCACTCACTAGGCTGGGCCCCAAACCCACTCTGCCAACAAATACTCCACATCTATGGTATGCCAGGTGCTTGGACCCTGCGGCTTCCACTAGAGGTCACAAGCAAATCACAGTGCTGTAAAGACAACATCCAGGGCAGGGAGGAGCCCTGTGATTGTAGTCAGGAAGGGCTCCCAGGGAGCAAGAGCTCCAAGCTCAGAAGTAGTGGGGAAACCAGGGAAAGGGACAACCAGTGGTGCAAAGTCCCTGGGATGGGAAGGCAGGAAGGAGGCTGGTGTGGCAGGAACAAGACGAGTCAGAAAGAGATGAGGGGCCAGGAAGGCTGGGCCTGGCTGCCCCCACAGCAGGGTGGGTAGGACAGAGCATCTGCCCTCTCCTAGCCCAGTTCCAGTGTCCCTCTTGGCACCTCTGGGCACTTGGCCTGGCCAAGCCTCAGCCTCCCTAGTGTTGCCCTGTGACATTTCCAAGGAGGATTTTGCTCAAGAAACATCTCATTCAGCGGAGTTCTTTGAAAGCTGGCTGGTGTCCTAGCAACAGGCTCGTGCTGGGCCTGGCCGCACCAGCCTGCCCTGCCCCCGACGTGGCATCCCTGTGCTTACCCAGAGGCCAGCCCTGGCCCCACAGGATCCAGCCTCACACCGCACAGAGCCGGGTCCCCACCCCTCCTGCCTTGGCCCCAGAGCCACTCTGAAATTCTAGGCGCCAACTGGCCTCCCCAGAGGGAACGAGAGTCAGAAGCTCATTCTGTAAATGGGATGCAGCACAGCAGGGCAGACAAGGGGGCACTTCTGAGACAGATGTTTGGACTTCGCAGCCCTCTGTGCCACAGGCTACTCATTGGGAGGCAACAGATCTGGAGAAGAATCTTCTGTGTCTATCTGCCCACCTGGTGTCCAGGCCCCCATGGTGAAGGTGACCTTGGGCAAGTCCCAGTGGGCTCTGAGCCTTGGTTTTTTCACCTGTAAAATGTGACAGTACTGCCTTTCTCTGGTTGCTGTGAGCTCTCTGGCTTTCTGGTCTCTGTCTCATTGAATTCTCACTCTGGGCCACCTGACACCCCTCTCCTGGTTCCAAGCCTCCTGCCATAGCTCCACGGCACCCATGCCCAGGGAACCCCTCTTCAGCCCGCCTCCCTCTCCTGGCTCCTTCCCGGCCCTGACTGTTTGCCTGGCCTCTCCTCCTCCCGCACACTCACCATCTCCACACTCAGATCCCTTGCCCACCCCACCAGACCTCCACCATGGTGCCTTCTCCTTGAGGTCAAGGAAGAGATGGGTCCCAGAAGGGCTGACCACGGCCTCCTTATGGAAACATGTTTAAATGGTTAACAACAAGGCCTACACCTCATCAGCTTTGGGTGAGAATTAAAGGAAGCCAGCAAAACAGGTGGTGGCGCTCTGTGCAGAGCACTGGAAGGGCCCAGTAAATGCCTTTGCTTCCTGTGGCTTCTGCACTGCCCCACCTCCCCGATTTCCTCCCTGACCCAGCCAGGCTGCCGCAGCCCCACTTCCTGTGCTGGCCCTGCTCGCCACTGCTTCTCAGTCTCACCCACCAGAGTTCTCATCATCAGCCCAGGCAGCCTGGCCTCTGCTCTGCCTCCACCTTGCCAACTCCCCTCGCCAGCCGCCCATCCCATCCCCCATCAAGGTGGGGGCTCCAGCCCCGCAACACCCAGCTGGAAGCCCAGTGGCCTCCTTGACCTGCACCCACTGGGTCACCCAGCCACCCTGTTGACTGCCCAAGTCTCCCTGCTGCCGCTGCCTTTATCCCTCCCAGTCATGACCCTGTGTGGCCTCCAGTGCTCATCAGTACTCCAATATCTCTCCACCTGGAGCATCTCCAGTGGAGATCCAGTCACCTGCTGGCCCCTGGGGCTCCCTCTGTCAGAATGCAGCTCCTGCCCCATTGCCACCCAAGTCACTCTGCAAACACCTGATTCCCCTCTTGCGCCTTTTCTGATGGCCTAGGCTAGGTCAGGCCCCCTCTCCTGGGCTCCCCTCATGTCCGTGCTGCCCCATCTTAGCACCCAAACCCTGCCTGTCGTTAGGGCTACACACAAGGCCCTGTTCAGTTTGAATTTCAGATGATAACAAGTACTTTTTTAGTACAGTATATAGTGTATGCCCCATGCAATATTCAGCACAAATTTATACCTTAAAACATCGTTGTGATTTTTTGTTTTGTTTTGTTTGAAATAGGATTTCACTATCTAGTTCAAGCTGGCCTCAACTCACAGGATCCTCCTGTCTCAGCCTCCTGAGTACTAGAATTACAGGTGTGTGCCACCATGGCCCACCCTCATTGTGATGTAAAATTCAGATGTCCCTGGGTGTCCTGCACTTCTGTTTGCTGAATCTGCTTCCACTGTCTGACTTCCTCTTCTGTACAGTGGAAGGAGCAGAGGCCGAATGTGTTGCCCCAGTCAGGGGCAGTGCTACAGTGCTACAGCAGGAGCAGGTGAGACAGGAGCTGGCCGCTGGCAGGGACCTGGCCCCCTGCCCAAGACCTCCAAAGCCAACCAGAGAGACCACACACACACACACACACACACACACACACACACACACCATCCAACCAGAGGTGACCAAGCCTGGTTCCACTCACCTTCCAGTCTGGGGGTAGCTGGGCCCCAAATCCCAGAGCAGGAAACATCTTGTCACTGATTAGAGAGAGAGGCAAAGAGAATACCATGTTATATCTGGCCACTGCCACCCTCCCCTGCTCTCCCCTGCTGATTTCACCCAGGGGACCTTTCTGCCTTGCACACCTCTGGGGGCAGAAGTCGAAGCTCATCACCTCTAGAGAAAGCTAATACAATCTGTTTGCTCTAGAGCCCAAACCCACCTCTGGGTGCTGGGTGAGCACATGGCTTGACTGTATCTGTAGCAGACATTGCTAATCAACCAGCGGGCCTGGGTGTACTTTCTAGGTCCTTCTCAAACCAAGACACACAAAGCCAGCCAGCCATAAAACCAAGGTCACCATGGAAGCTGAGTGTACTAGCTCCAGTCTCTCAGCCTCCTGTTTATGGCTGGAGAAAACTCTCCTAAAATGAGAACTCTGATTTGGCACTCAAGGCCCTTCATCATTGGTCCTAGACCCTAGTTTTACCTTCTACCTATCCCTCCAAAACCACTCCCAGTCTTGGCCCTGGTCCCTTGCAGTTCCTCAAACATACAGGGCACTTTTCATCTCAATTTCAATTCTGTTGTACCACTACCTGAAATATTTGTCCTCACTGTGTTCCCCATAGCAAAACTCCTACTTCAACCTCTATGACCCAGTCAAAATGGCCCCTTCTCTCTGTGGGTTTCCCTGATACCCAATAATGCCTCTCTCTTTGTGGTCCCATGGCTCCCGCCTCACACATAATCTCATTATCTCAGAGCTCCAGTGATTTCTTCTTTCTCTCTGTCCCTTGAGGGCAGGGACAGTGTCTCATCTGTTTAACACACATTTATTGAGAATTCCTCTCGGGCCGGGGATTTAGCTCAGTGGTTCCGGCGCCTGCCTCACAAGCACAATGTCCCAAGTTCGATCCCCGGTACCAAAAAAACCCCCCAAAACAAAATAAATAAATAAAGGAGAGTTCCTCTGGCTTCCACTGGAGGATAAACTGTCAGCAGCCAGGGCAGAAGTGGGGGGACCAGGGCAGAAGCTACTGAAATGTATTGGGCAGGTGACTGTGGCTCCAATTCAGTGTCCTGGGCTCCTGGGGGCCTTGCTAAGTCTGCATGTCCACAAGACGGCTTGCTGCAGAGGCCGAGCGGTTGGGTGGGCCTAGGGTCTCTGGAGGGCTACACCATGGTCCTCCCCTGACTGTGCAAATGGGACTTCCACCTCCCTTGCTCTGCCGGCTGTCCCTCTCTTAATGTGGCCTTGGTGGACATCGGTCATCAGGCTCACTCTTAGAGAGGCCCCCTGCACACAGGATTCCCAAGCCTGCTCTTCCCCTACCTCCTTCCTCCCCTGCAGTCTCCTGCACCCCACCCAGAGGTCCCCACAAAACGCGGTCATGGTAAGAGGGCCCAGCTTGTGGGCCACTGCTTGGAAGTTCCCAGGAGGAGTGGGACTGTGAGGCTGGAGTGTCTGGCCCCAGCCCCATGATCTGTGCACATTTGGACAAATTCTCAGCTCCCACTCCTGGCCTCTATTTCCCCAGCTCTACAAGGAGCTGCAGCAACAGTAAATGAGTCTCAGCTTCTGTCCTGACTCATTTCCTTACTGGTGACTTGGTGTACTGTGTGCAGAAGGATCCGGTTTGAGTAGGCTTGGCAGTTAAGAGAACAGCGATCAATTAGCGATGTCTGTCACAGGTAAGGGAAGGGACAGATCGGAACATGTATCCACCAGCGGGATGTTCTGGGCTTGCAGACCTCTGGGTCCCCTCCAGCTCTGAGAAGCTGAGCCTTCTGGCTGAGGGAACCTGACTGACCTTCCAAACCCCTCTCTGAGCTCACCTGTCATAGTCCTGGATGATCTGCCCCACTGCCCAGATGGCCGACAGGTATTCGTTGGTGCCCATGGGGTTGATGTAGTGCAAAGACGATGGGTCCAGGGGATTCCCATTGGAAGCTGTGAAGTCTATTCCAACCTGCCGGGGCGGGATAGGGAGGGCACCCAGAGTGGCCACTGACCTCAGCTCCCTGTCACACCCCCAGGAACAGGGGATGCTGATGGGGCCCAGGAAGCCCACTCTTCTTCCAGGCCCACTTCCCCATACGATGATCTGAAACCTAGAAACTGACTGCATCACTGTGTCACTCTGCTCTAAGGCCATCCGTGGCTCCCGGTTGCCTAAGCATAAAGCCCAATGACCAAATGCAGTACTCGACTAAAGTACAGCCTATGATCCCTCTTTCTCCTTACCCCAAGCCATCTCCCCACCTGTCCCTCAGTCACTGAGGGCTGGAGACCCAGGCTTCCTGGCAGGGCAGTGCCTATCCCTGCGGTCAGCTGAGTACTCAGAGTAGGTAAGGGATGTGTCTAGAGGAGCCTGGTCCAGGGCTGGGAGAGTGCACAGGGCTGGTGCTCAATGGGGACTTCGGGGCTAAGGAGTAGATAGGGATCCGGGCTCTGTTTGTTTTCCCCACCCCAAGGGAATTCCAGCCCAGCCCCAAGTGGGACAGCACAGGCGGGGAGTATGGCCCCTGCTCAGCAGGGCAGGTGCAGGACAGGGGTCGGGAAGAAGGCCACTTTGGAACTTGGTCACTCTGGGGGAGGCACCATGACATCCTCATTTTGCTGCAGGGTCAGCACCCGCAGTAGGCTTGGCATGTCTTAGTCACCACAGAAAGCCCAGCACAGAGGAGCTCAGTGTACATTTGCCAAATGAACACCCCTGCCCCAACCAGGAAGCATGGGAAGGCCTGGCCTCTCTGCAGAGAGGGAGGCAAAGGAGAAAGTAGGGTTAGAGATCAGCAAGGCCAACCCCATGTCTGTGTGGCCCTGCAATGTCCCCAGCCCCCTGGGATCCAGTGGTGACAGCAGTGAGGCAATGGGGAAGGTGGGTGTAGCGAGGCATCTGAGGCTCCTCCTCTCTGGCCCTGAGGACGTGAGAGGGCAAAAGGCCAGGTGAGTGGCCTAGAGTGTGTGGAGCATGTACTCTGGGCCACAGGCAAGGCAGCACTTTGCTCTGTGCACAGTGACCACTGAGCTCCTGCTCCGTGCATGACACAGACTGGATGGGGACCAAAACACATGAAGTGCCAACACACTGCACTTACAGGCTGGTGGGGAGGGGCCCAACAGGGACAAGTGAAAACGTGTAAGGTGGCTTCAGAGAGAGTAAGTGTCTGACAATGGGGACAATCAGGGAAGGTCTCCCTGAGAAGCTGGCACAGAGCCTGGGGTGGGGGGAGGACAGACAGGCATGGTGTGTCTGGCGGGAACGGCAAAGAGGACGTGACGGACACGGCTGTGGGCAGGGGAGGGAAGCCTGGAGCCAGCAGGGAGGAACTGACTTCTCTATAGAGGGGTGCAGCTAAGACACAGGGAGCTCTGCGGCTATGTCCTGACCTGCAGCAGCTGGGACAAACCCCCTATGCCTCTCCTCTCCAGCCTAGACAGTCTTGCCTCAGGGAAATCCTGCGGCCTATCCCAGGTCCCTCCTGCCTAGGCTGGGGCCTAAGCCCTCAGGGAGGAGCAGCCGTGGGGAGAGGGGAGAGGAGAAGGAGCAGCTTACGGTGAACATGAGCTGGCAGCCTCCCAGGATGTAGTCCAGGAAGGAGTACTCTCGGTGTATCTGGAAGAATGGGGGTCAGTGGGTCCCCTGGTCTTGGCTACAAATGCCTTGGGGGAGTCCTTACTCTGGGTCCTGAAGTCTCAGTAGGGACAAGAAAGTAAAAAAGGCTGACGGACCTTATCTGATTACAACAAAACCCAGATCTCTCCATCACAAAGCCCTCAGGGCAATGGCCCCAGTGGGTGGGACACCACACACACAACACACACACACACACACACACACACACACACACACACACACACACAGGATTTCAGGAAGGGTCCTAGGACCCAGCGCCAATTACCCCTGCCAGACAAAGTCCCCTCTGGCCTTCACTACCTCCATCGGTATATAACGGGCCTCCTCCAGAACTTAATAAGGCTGTTAAACACTATTTATTTTGCAGGCCTTGCCTCCTGCTGGCAAAGCACACTGCCCTTTCCGTTTCAGCAGAGTCTATAAATGTATTTAAGTTAATTTTAAAAATGGAGAAAGGCTGAATGGAAAAAATAAGTATGGAGGTTTCTGAAACAAGGGCCTAAATCGTGCTCTCCTGCTGCAGTGTCACTAAAGGTCCATGTGACCCCAGGTGTCAGCTGGGCCCCAAAAGTGGAGGCCTGGTGCCTGGATCAGCATCCATAGAGAGCAGCATAAGACTCGCTCCTAGCCTACCTCAAGATAAGCCAGACCACAGCCCAGCCTCAGAGCAGGGAGATTCATCCCACTCGGCCTCAGTGGCCCCAGCTCTACCATGGGAGTCACAGCCAGTGAGCCTTCACTGAGGCCAAGGGAGAAGGAGCCCCTGCAGATCTTTGTCCACTGCCCGCTGTGCAAGGAGCGAGCCACCAGCGTGGACTGTGGTGGCTCCTGTAGTCCCCCAACCGGAAGAGGCCTAGGAAGCCACCTTAAGCCCTTGGCTCCCACACAGGCAATGGCGCAGGGATGACCCTTTACACACAGACCTTGTTAACACACCTGTCCTCCAGGTGAGGGGCCTGAGGCCCACAGAGCAGAAGTTCAGAAGGTCACAGAGCCAGGCTGTGCCACAGGCAGGCTCTGAACCCAGGCCTCACCGGCCGCAGACCCAGAGCTCTGTGTAGCCCTCTGCAGTGGTGCCCTCTGTGTGGCCCAGACCTCCCGCCCCACCCTGCCGTTGGCTCACCTTGCAGGAACGCAGGATGATGATGCCTGAGTTCTTGTAACTCTTCTTCTTCCTCTGCTTCTTGGGGTTGATGCACTCCAACTCCAGCTGAGTGCCAGGAACAGAAACAGAGGCTCGGTGGAGGGTTTCTGGAGTCAGATGCTCCCCAAGCCCCCCCACAGCCCCAGCCTTGACACAGGGCACCTGCCTTCCCCAGGGAGCTGTGTAGGTGCCACATCAAAAGGGTCCTCAACTGCTTTGGGGTGTTAAGTGACAGCTCCAGACCCCTCTCTAGGGTAGCACGCTGTCTCCATTATCATCCCACCTGAATCCTCTGCCCTCAGGGACCGATGGGGAAACTGAGGCTGGGGAGAACCAAGTCTTGCTCAAGGTCCTGCAGCAGGAAGAGGTGGCATCTGAGCCCCACTCAGCCTGACTCAAAGCTCCATGCCCCCTCCCAGCCTCTGCCGAGACCTTGGGGACCCCATCTCACCGGGACACCATCGCGGGCCTCACACATCTGTGACACCGTTGTCTGGAACTCGCCAATGAAGTCATGGCCCCCGTCATTGTCATAGTCATAGCACGTGACCTGGGATGGATCCAACATAGTCACCCCAAAGCTGTCCCCAAAAGGTGCTTTCCTGCCCCTTTGGCTCCCTGAGCAAAATCCTCCTGCCCCAATCTTCCGTGCAGGCATTGCTCCCCCAGCACTTGACCAGCTGGCTCCAGAGCAGATCTACCTCCTGCAGGGAGTCCACCCTGACTGCTGAGGAGGAAGTGTGCATCCCAGGAACAGAGGCTGGGTTCATCAAGGCAGGAAGCTGCCTCCTCACACACCTGACTCCTGGCTCCTCCTGCCTAGGCTGGGATCCACCTGGCTGTGGGCCATGGCCTCAGGCCCTCTCTAGCTGACCCGCCCCAGATGGACACAGAGCCCCACCTTACATGTTCTCTAACTCAGCTGCCTGGCATCGGAGGAGGAAGACAGGAATTATTGTGCTCACTCTACTGATGGGGAAACAGGCCTTGAGGGAGTAGCACACCAGGACTAGAAGCCAGGTTCCCTGGAATGCGACCCAGGGCTGCCTGCCCTACCTAGCTGCCTCCCTCACCCTACCTGCTCACAGACCCAGTCCCTAGGACTGAGGGCTTTCAGTCCTGTCCTCCCCATGTTACCCCCTTGCAACATTAGATCATTTCTGAGGTGTTCCCACATCCATGATCCTAGCTAGAAGCTCTGCAACCCTCTAGGAAGGCAAATTTTAGAGTGGGAGGCTGGAGCTGGCAGGTGGGAGCAAGCCCTGGAAGACCTCACCTGAATGGGCTTGTTCATGTCCCCATCACACAGGGACACCAATGGCACGGTGAATGGCTTCCACACAGGGTCCAGCGTGTACTTGATCACCTATGGAACAGTGAGGGGCAGTTCTGGGGCTGGCCAACCCAGTGAGAATGAACAAGATGAGGGACCCACAGCCACACTTCCGGGATGGAGGTGGATATCCCAGCCACCCTTCAGGGCTGGGACTGCACAGCCCACCCTGAGCTGACAAGGATGCTTGGATGGCAGACTCCAAACACCCACCTCAGTCCTGTGGACCAGCATCCATTTGCCATCATCCCCTGGCTTGTAAAACTCGAGAAATGGGTCTGACTTCCCAAAGAGGTCCTGTGGAAGGGGAAGGACATAGGTGAGGGCTGTGACCCTAGAAGATGTAGGGGGCTGGAGCTGAGGCCTAGCTGCCTCCCCAACCCAGAGTCAGGGTGGGAGCTGCAGACCCAGCCAGCCAGGTTGGTCTCTTCCACCTTGGTCTCTGCAAGGCGAGCCAGAGGCCTTTGTAGCTATAGCCCCTGAGACCAGTGACCCCCAGAACTCCAAAATAAGGCCTAAGAGACCCTAAGACCCAGAGCCTGCAGGCATAGAGCTGCAGCATCTATCACAGGGCAGGACTTCATGAGGGTGCCTGCTTGGGCTGGGGTGCAGCACAGAGTCAGAGCTCTTGCCTGGCATGTGAAGGCCCTGGGCCCACCCCAACACCATGAAACAAAAACAAAAACAAACAAAACACAGTGCTGCTGCTCGTGCAGGGCCAGGGCCCAGTGGAATATGACTTAATGTTATTGAAACTCTGGAAATCCAAATCTATCCTATTACTGAAGGGATGTGATGTCCTCTAAAAATTCATTTAAGTTTTTAAAAAGTGGCAGTGAGGTTACATGCAAGTGAATGGCACTGAAAGTAAAATAAGTAAAACTGCATGTGAGACAGGACAAGGGAGAAGGCAGGCCACCGAAGGCCACTGCCATTTCTGGAAGGCCTCACAGAGGTGATGCAGACAGGCTTGTTGCAGGGAGGGTACAGTGAGGATGTTCAAGGAAGAGGGTTGCAGGCAGAGGTCCTGAGACAGAAGCGTCTGGTTTAACCTGGCGACAACAGGCTGGGGTTATGGCTCAGTGGAAGAGCGCTTGCCTAGCAGGTGTGAGGCCCTGGGTTCCACCCCCAGCACTGTAAAAATAAATAAGTCTGGGGACAGCAGGAGGCTGCTTTAGTTGAGACAGAGTGAAGGAGGGGAGAGAGGAAGGGGTGAGGTCTGGAATCAGGGCACCAGGGGCACCAAGGTAGAGAGGGGCCAGTAGAGCAGGTAAGAACACTGGAATTTACATCAGGTGAGATGCAGCATTGTAGAGTGGTTTCCAGCTGTGGTGTGGATGTTTCTATGTGATGGGGAGCTCACTCCCTTGTTGGTAACAGTATGCTAATTTGCAATATGCTACTCTTGTCCTCAGGGAGCAAAGAAGGTGGTGGCCCTAGAGGGCTGGGCTGGGGAGGGACATCACCCTCACAGAAACCCCCTCTCCTTGCCGCCTTACCTTCTTGTCCAGCTTCCTGCCTGCTAGGCTCAGTGTGATGACCCGGTTGTCTGACAGCTCCTGGGCAGCGATCTGTAAGGTCCAGGGTCGTAAGGGGAGGGTCATTCCTTCCACTTCCCCTGCCACCACCCCTGTGCCTAGGACCCAACTGTGCAGGGCTGGGGGTGGTGAAGGGGGAGCAGGGTGGTGCCAGGTGATCTCAGACAAGTCTCTTATCCTCTTTAAACCTCAGTTTCCATCTTCTGGAAAATGAGAGACATAACCCATCTAGATATGAGGCATCAGCAAATGATCCCCTGTGGCTCAGGAGAGGGGGACATGGGTGGCGGTGGAGATAACACAAAGGTCAGATGAGGAGGGTGGAGCAGAACCAGGGGAGAGGTTTCGGGGCAGGAAGTAGAATGACAGACCTCCTCCTGCCCTCAGCAGCTCCTGAGGGCTCAGAACACTAAGGGGTCAACATCTATAGCCACTTCACTGTGCACCTGGGGAAAAGGGCCAGGATCCACCCAAGCTCCCTCTACTGTCTCACGGGCTCACACCAATCATCTGTCCTCCATCTGTCCCCATGGTCCTCAGAGCCGGCCCAGCAGTGTTGCCCAGCTGGTGACACAGAGGCTGCTGAGAACCCTCCCTGACCCTCTCTCTCCGCTCCTCTCCACAAAGTGATAGGAAGCTATCGCCACCCCCACCACCGCCACACAATCAGGCTGGGTGCTCTCCACCCTGGGGCTTCCTCCCTGATCCCATGTGCCTCTAGATGGCCTCTCCCAGGCAAGTTGTCCATCCCACCCTCCAGTATCACGGCCCAACTCTTTCTAGGTCATCCTTTCTCCCCTTCCTGTCCTCCAGCTGGGTCTTGCCCAACCACATTATGGGGCAGGGCTCCCTTTTTCCAGAGGAGGGAATTGAGTCCCAGAGTAGAATGAGTAGAAATGCTGGGGTGTGTGTGTGTGTGTGTGTGTGTGTGTGTGTGTGTGTGCTATACTGGGCTGGGGAGGCTCTCTGGGTCAGCTTTCAATGTGGGGAAGCTGGCCTGTGAACCCCATCAGATGGGGTGACTTTGAGCATCAAGAGGTAGAGGGGCAGGACAATCCAGGAGCCAGGACCATTGTGGATGAGGGTTCAGGGAGTATCCAGGATGCTATAAAGTCACCTTGCCCTGAACCCAGGGCATTTGAGTGAAACAGTAAGGAACAACTGGGGCAGGAAAGCAAATGAGGGGTGATGGGTTCTACACAGCTTTGAATGAAGTTTCCACAGGCAGTGAGGAGCCACGGCGGGTCCCAGAGCAGAGGAGAAAGGGCCATGGGAACACAGGAAGGTGCGGAGCTCTGCCCTCCAGGGCTTGCTCCCTAGGCCTAACAGCACTGGGGGTGACCCCACCAGCCAGGCTGCCTCGGGGGTATCTTTTCTGGGTCTCACTTCCCTCATCTGTTAAATGGGGTCGCCCTGCCTTCTGGGACCCCGAGGATGGAGGAGCTCATCCCCATGCTGTCCTGCACATTGCTGGAATTTTGTGCATCAAAGGAGGAATCACTGTGCATGGCAGACACCAGCTGAGCGTGGCTGAGCAAGCGCATCTGAAAGGGCCCCAAGGGGCGCAGGTAGTGACCAGTGTGGGGAAGGGGTGCTGGGAGGGCTCTGGAGGCTCCAGGGCAAAGTAGGAAGCCCTGCTCCAAGGTGCTTTTGGGGCCTTAGACTGTCCCCCCAGCTCAGCAGCCTCCAGTGCATCATTTGTGGAGCTAGGAGCCCGTTGCTAAGAGACCTGTTGCTAAGTTGTAACTTGGGCCTTTTTACTCCAAACAAAGCTGGTGATTATCTGCCAGAGAGGCAGCCCATTGATGGGGGAGGGGAGCGGGTGGAGGCAGAGGGGGGATGTGGAGAGCTGGGAGGGGGCTGGTACCGTAATCAAGCCCTTCCCTGCTGGCTTGTCATTCATCAGCAGCAGAGGCCGAGTGATCTTCTTGCTGGAGACGATCTGGGGCGGGAGAGACAGAGAAAGGAGCTCAGCGAGGTGGGAGGACAAATCATCAACAGGCACACTCTGCGCAATGGCTCCTGTCAGCATTAGCCAGCCTGGGCAGCCAGCAGGCTGGGGCCCAGAGAGGTTAAGACATTGGCCTGAGGTCCCCCACTGGGAGAGGAATCCTGGCAGTCCGGCTCCACTGACATGGCTGGCCCCTGGAAAGGCCCTTGTGGGCTCTCGGTTGTGGGGACAACTGCAGAGGGCAGCCCCCCTCGGTGCCCTCCCCATGTGTCATACACAGAGCCTATGATGCAGGGGTCCAACTCCCATTCCTTGTATGTATGTCATTGTCTTCAATGGGTAACACATGCCCATGGAGTTCAACAATCCAAACAATACAGAAGGAAAAAGTGGAGCTCTGAAAACTGCCCCCTCCACTGGCCCCTGTCCATTGCATTCCCTCTAGGAGCTCCTCCTGTGGCCCTGGTCACACCACTGCCCAGTCCTGCCTTCCCTGGGTGAAGGTGGTCGGGTTCCCTCATGCCAAGCCCTGGGCTGCTTTCCTGGCCCCTGTTGGCTCCCTGGCCCCTCTACAAATCCTTAAGCTGCTTGCAAGGTACTCTTTGAGGGTATAGACACACAGCAGGGACTCTGACTGCTGCACTCCACTTCTTACACAAAAGGGGACATCACCTCTACTGTCCACCTATGATGTGTTCATAAACATCATCTCCTGGAGGCCAAGAACATTTCAGCTTTCACCACAACCTCTCAAAGCATTTTCTGTTATTCTTGCACCTTTCCTATAGACCAGGTGGAACAGTCATCATTAAGTGCAATGTGGGGAAACTGAGGCCCAGAATGAGGTAGGGGCTTGCTCTTAGGAACACGGCCTTAAGGGCTGATTGGGACTTGTGTCAGGGGCTCCTAGTCCTTCCCCTCCCAGCAGCAGCTTATCAGGGACTGTGGTGGATGGGAAGTGTGGCTCAGAGAGGGAAATGAAAGGCCCAAGGTCGCACAGCATGTCAGACACAGAGTGGGATGACTGCGGGTGCCTTGGCTGCAGGCAGATGCTCCCCAGGGAGACAAGACCACACCTGATGACTTCCAAAAATCAACCGCTCTGGCCACATGGGGCCCCAGCACTGGTGTGGCAGCAGCTGGCTAGCATTGTGTTTGGCTGCTCTTCAGCCTGGCCCCAACCCACCTGGCTACATTTGAGGGCCTGCTGGCTCTCCAGGCTATCTGCCTTTGCACCTGGGGAAAATGGGGCCTAGCCAGGAAAATGGGGCCAGGAAATGTAGGTGGAAGGAGAGGGTCCCCAAGGGGCTGCCTTAGGCTTGGAGCTGCTGATGTCTTGGGGTACTGCCCTGCTCCCACCCACCAGGAGGGGCCTGGCTCACTGTTCCCAAGCTGCAGGAGAACTGGCCCAGGAAGTCGTGCTCATCGAGCTGCATGCTGGACTTGTCCTGGTCAAACAGGGCGAACTTGAGCTTCTGCACCTCTTCAAAGTGGTAGTCGAGGACGAACTTCTTGGAGAACGCGGGGTTGAGGTTGTTGATGGCCGTTTCTGTCCTGTCGTACTGGCAGACGGGCAGGGATAGAGGAGCCAGAGTCAAGGCAGCCAATGGACTCTGGCCAGGAACCATTCTAACTCACTGAGCACCTACTCTACACCAGGCACTCATGGTCAGCTACTGTGTGGCTGAAGCCCACAGACAAGGAGCAGAAGTACAGACAGGCTAAGTGATTTACTCAAGGTTGAACAGTGAGTGAAGCAGGGCCAAAATTCAAAACCCAGATCTGACTCTAATATCCACACTCTGTTTTTGCCCTGTACCGGAGACTTTCCCACTGAGCTATAGGCACCATTCTCCTTTTTTTTTTTTTTTTTTTTGGTACCAGGGATCGAACCATCCTCCTTTCTTAATTTTTAATTTTGAGACAGGCTCTCACTAAGTCACTAAGTTGCCCAAGGTGGACTCAAACTTGTGATCCTCCTGCCTCAGCCTCCAAGGGTGCTGAAATTACAAGTGTGTGTCACTACACCTGGCTTGTGCCCACACTCTTCACTCTTCAGCCCTGGCTCCATTCCCAGGTATCCCTGCCTGGGTAGGTGACAGGAAGCAAGTCACCCTGCCCACCTGGGCCTCACTTCTGTACAATGAAGAGATCTGACTATGTGCAGTTTTCAGACTTTGAGAAACCACACTTTACCTGGCAGTTGAGAGAGGAAACAAAAAGAAGGAAGGTCCCCAGGGGCAGATGTTTGTCTCTTGCACAGACTCTTGGAATTGTAAAGCCCAGCATGCCCCAACTGCAGGCCTGAAGCCTGGGAGAGGACAAGGCCCTGCATTGTGGGTCACTGGTGGCACATGGGAAGGAACCCCACTTCCTGGCCTCTGGACGCTGTGGCCCCAAACTTCGGAGTCTGGGTGGCAGTCTATTTCGGAACCTAAACTGTGTTGACTTTTTCTTCCACCCAGTCTAGTTCTAAGGCTTGAGCAGGAAGGATGGAACAGGCCTTGGCCCTGAGCTATTTTTAGCCAGGGTGACCATGGGGTGGGACCAGAGACTATTGGAGAGGTGGGGGTATAAGTATGGGGAGTCTTCTCAAGGGCATGCAGGGTTACAGAGACCTGGCAGAGGGACCAGTACCCTAGAAATGCCCCCCAAGAGGCCTGGGGCTCCCCCAGGAGACTACAAGTCACATCCTCACTTCCAGCGGCATCATCATCGCACTGGGAAACATAGTAAAGTCCCTCCCTTCTCTGGGCCCCATTTCTAAAATGGGTCAACAGCCCTAGATTCATTTGTTCTGGCCTCACAAGAAGGAGCCAACATCTGTGGAGACTCTTTGTAGACAAACCACACTGAGTTTAGCCGTCACCCACCATGGCCCAGTTAAATATTTATTTAAAAAGGAAATATGTATTTTGGAAAATAAACATGCATATAAAACTACCTAGAAGGCTACATACCAAACTGTGAATAGTGGTTCTGATAGGTGGGTTTTGACTGTCTTTGTTGGGTTTACATAAATTTTCTAAATTTACTACAATGAATACAGTTTCCCTTTGGAGTAGGAGATGAAGTTTTAAAAGCTGAATGTGTGAGTCACTCAGGTTTTTCAATATCCTTCCTCATGCTGCATCTTTCCTTAGGCCTTGGGCCAGAATTTTCCAGCTCAGAAGTCCCTGGCTAGGACACCACGGATGTCCCAAGCTCTGGGAACTTCCACTGCAGGCAGGGAAAAATAAAGTCCCCCTTTCATAGGTGAGCAGAAGGTTCAGACAGGGACAGCCATTTGCCTGAGGCCACATAGCAGGGTATGGCATGGCTGGGCCCTGGGACCAGCTCTAGGCCCAAAGCCTGAGCCTTCTATGTGTTTCTTTACTTCTCACTGATTGTGTTCATTTAGAAATAAAATTTATTTAAAAGCTGAAGTGGGCATTTTATAAAACTATACAAGTTTTAACTGTATTATAATAACTTACTGTGACATAAAATTACATAATTATAAGTATACATCTATGGATTAGAGTTTAACTTAGACACAATATAATTAAGTAATATTTTAAATATACTTAAAATTTTAATTTTAAGAGTAAACATTCTCTGCAATTTCCCTGCCACCAACCCACATTCCAGCTATCTCCAAGGCCCTGGGCCCAGGGGTTCAGTGGACCCACTGGTAGCCCCACCCCAGTGAGTGAGTCACCCCTGCCCCACTGCAGACACACGCAGGGGCCTCACCTCCATCCACCTGCCGCTATTCTCCGTGAAGAGGACACAGAAAGGGTCGGACTTGGAGGTGACGTCCCGGTCCAGCAGGTTCTGGCCGCTCACAGATAGCTCCACCTTGCACACGCAGTACTGGGAGCCCATGGGGGGCACCCCTGCCACCGGGGCTCCCCCACCTGGTGTATAGGCCATGGGGGTCGGTGGTGGCAGCAGCAGCTCCTGGCAGTCTAGGGGAAAGACAGCAAAGGTCAGGCGGGGACAGACCACTCTGTGGCCTGCCATCTACAGGCACATCCCCACTTGATCTTCAAGAAGGACTAAGGGCGGGGATTTAGTTCAGTGGTGCCGCCACCTGCCTCGAAAGTGCAAGGTCCTGAGTTCAATCCTCAGTACCAAAAAAAAAAAAGGAGTAGATGGGAAAGGGGCAGGGGCAGTGACTTTCTCAAAGTCTTGGAGAAAGGAAAACATGGGGAGATGTACAACAAAGACCTCCCCAGGGAGTGTGCTTAGTTTGACCTTAAAGTTCTTCCCCGATAAGGCTGGTCTTTAGCCGTGAGATACGTACAGGTCCCTGTGTGTTGCCCATGTCAGATCTGCAACAGATCACAGTGCACACAGGCATCCCAGACACTCGGTGTGCCAGGAAGAACCAGGTTCTTCTGAGCAATGAAGATGTTGGCATCTTGTGGCTACAGTGGAGGGTACGCAGGCTCAGGTTTCCCTCACTGCTTTGGCAACTAGGGAGCCCACTCCCAGGAACTTATTTAAATTTGGACCTTGGTCATTGTCTATCATGTTTGTCTTATATCTCTAACCCAAGCACCATGGTTGCAGTCTAAGAAACATACATTTGTTGAATGACAGAAGGATGAGCATATAAGTAAATGAATGGACAAACCCTCCATATCACACAAATCCTCCTGAGTTGGTCCTTACCTGCAACCCAGAGCTGACCCATCAGTCAATCATGACTTCCCCTAATCCCGAGCCACGGGCCTCTGCACCCTTCTGTTGAAGCTGGTTACTGACATTTGCTCCTGCTAAGCAGTCCTCTTTTTGAGGACACAGTGCTCACTTGAAGCAGGAGTGAAGGAACCATCTCCGAGGTGGAGGTGAGGTCTGGTCCCACCTAGCACAGACCCTGTAGACAAGCTGGCTGGCTCTCTGTGCCTCAGTTTCCTAACTGTCCATGTAATATCACAACAGTTCTTTGAGACTCTTGTGGTCAGATCTTATTCCCCCCGTTGCACGTGCATTTAACACAGGCCCCATTGCCTAGATGGATGAGTCCAGTCCCCAAATGGATGCTCCACAAGGGCCAGGCTCCAATTCCTCCACTCATATTTTGTCCCCTTGCTGTTGAGTGGATAACTGACCCTGCAGGTCCCTAGAGCGGGTAGCTGAGAGCAGCGGCTTCCCTCTGGGAACAGAACCCAAGTCCCTGTGCTTGACAGCACTGATGGCACATCCCCTGCATACCCGTTCAGTCTTGTGGGGCAAGTGGTATCACTGTTCCATTTTCCAGAGGAGGAAATAGGCTCGTCTGCTTCCTGTGGAGGCATTCAATCGGTGCCAGGGCTGTGGATCCTACAGGAAGAAGTCTGCCCTGTCTCAACCCCTACAGAGCCCCCATTCCAGTCTGGATGAAATGGAGTGAGCAGCCAGGTCCTATGGGTGAGGTAGGCCTTGATACAGAGCTGGGCTTCAGTCTGAAAGTGATGGGAAGTCTTAGAGGCAGAGAGGTGATGCGATCTAATTTGCCTTTTTGTTTTATTCTGTTTCGCAGTGATGGGGATTGAATCCAGGGCCTCCTCATTCATGATAGGCAAGCGCTCTACCACTCAGCTATATCCCCAGCCCTGAGCTACATCCTCATCCCTGATCTGCCTTTTGAAAAGCTCACTTGGGCCCTGGGGAGAGCTGCCATCAGCTGCTGTTGTCCAGGCAGGAAGGACCAGGCCATAGGCACCAGGCCACTGCTTCTCCCCTCGACCTGGGCCATGGCCCCTCCTCCAGCTCAGCCTCAGGCCCCCTGTCCCCTCCAGACACAGTGCCCCCCAGGGCCTGCCTGGCAGGGAGAGGATCTGGACAGTGACGAAGGCAGTCCTCAGCCTCCTCCCTCCCACTGCCTGTCCCCAGAAGCTCATTACAATCACACAAGCCCAGAGCGCCAGGACAGCACTGCAATTTGCCTGCAGGATTTATTCTTGTCGTGTAAGAATCCATTTCCACTGGAGGGGCCAGTGAACTGCGCCCTCTCACTGTGCACAGCTGGGAGCGAGCTGCACGCATGCGTGTGTGCAGGGCAGGGAGAGCAGATCTTTAACCAATGAGTGGGGCCAAGGGGATGTCCATCCCTTGGGCCTGGATGAGAGTGCCCGTTTATCCCTATACCTGCCCCAGGGTACAGAATCTGGGACAAGACGAGCACCCCCATTTTATAGATGAGGAAACTGAGTCCCAGAGTGCTCAAGTCACTGTCCAAGGTCACATGGCCAGGAAAGCAGAGGCAGAGCGTGAACTGAGTCTCTGGGCCCCCAGGTTGGGGCTGGGCCTTCTCACCAGGTTGAAGAGATTGTTGGGCATATGGGGACAGCCAGAGAATCCACCACACCAGGGGAGCCTGGGCTGACAGGGCAGGGTCAGGCCCAGGGCTGTAGCTGGGGAAGCCAAGGACACGCCGCCACTCCAGAGCACCCAGGACCACCAGTTCCTCCGAGGTCACACTGTCCACAGCCCTGAATCTCCTACCATCACTCACTGGCACTTGGATTCCAGCCCACCCACCTCCTCCCCAGCTCACAGGCCCCTCCGTGACATGTTAGGTGACACGTGGGCACCAGCCCCCACTGCAAGTCAGACACTTTTATTCTCAGCAGGGGAAGGGCCAGGTAACACGCCCAGCTTCACATCCTGCCCTGTCCAGATACACACGTGTGACTGGTCACACAGACACCATCACCCAGACTAACAAATGCAAAGGCACATGCCTGTCGAGTACTCCTGTCCCTGTTTGGGTTCCCTCCTGGATCCAAACCCCAGCACCTTGCCTTGGTTATCACACAAGTCTCCCACCCTCACTGTCTCCCATCTGGCTGGGGGCATGGTCAGGATCCCCGGATCACAGGGAAAGTAGGGCTGGCCTGGGACCTGACACCTCCCAGCCCTCCACAACTCCATCTGGATCTGCTCCCCAGCCCCAGCTGGGGCCAGCAGAGAATGGATGGGTAGGCAGGGAGGGAACTTCTTCTGTATGCTGGGGCAAGTCGCCCTCCTCCAACTCACCCTCTGGCAGGAAGCTTCTGGATGCCCGAAACGGGGAGCACATGATGTCTGAAGTTGGGGCAGGCAGGGGTCAGAGTGGCTGTGGGTGGCAGCCCGGGAGCGGGCAGGCAGGCTGGACCCTGAGGCCTGACGCAATGGAAAAAGAAACTACAGCTCAGGCTGGGCTGGGGCCCCCTCCCCTCCTGCCCCAGCAGGAGCAGCAAGGTGTCATTAAGGAAAGGCTGGGTCTGCCATGCGCATGTGGGCAAGATGGAAGGCTTGGGACACTGCCTGCCCCACCCCGCAGATAATTTGAGGTTTCAGGCTAGAGGAAGGGGTATGGGGAGCCAGGGCCTGCTCGAGGGATGGTCCTGACTCATGGCAGAGGTGGGCACAGGCTTCTGGGTGATCAGACTCCCTGGAAGGAGTTTGGAGGGTGGAGATACCAAACCAGCAGTCCCTTTTACAAATGGGTTAACTGGGGCAAGTGGAGGAGTCTAAGACTCCTCAGTCATAGGTTTGTGCATTATTCAAACATCCCTTGAGAACCCTCAAGCTGTGGCAATGAGTAAAGCATAGAGCAGTGGTGGCAAACCTATGGTATGTGTGCCGTAGTGGGCACAAAGAGCCCTCTCTGTAGGCATGCGAGCCAGGTTGCTCCAGCATTACCACAGTAGCAGATAACAGCACACACAGGGGCAATGTTGGCTGTTTGCGTAATGGGCACTAGGTCTCTAAAAGGTTCGCCATCCCTGGCATAGAGGGTTCAGCCTCCACCAGGTCCACTGCTCCAGCAACAAAGGCCTGGCCATAGGGCCAGGACAGGATCTCGTGACTCTGGTGCTGAGCATTAGGGCTTTTTTTTTTGGTACTGGAGATCGAACTCAGGACCTTGTGCTTGTGAGGCAGGCACCAGAACCACTGAACTAAATCCCTGGCAAATGACTAGTACAGATCGTACACATTTTTTTGTCTGTTTGTTTTGGTACCAGGGATCAAACTCAGGTCCTTGCACTTGCAAGGCAGGCGCTGGAACCACTGAGCTAAATCCCCAGCCCACATTAGGGCTTTAACCAGAAACCTGGGAACCCATGGTCCTTGACTCCTTTTAACCTTCTTCTGCCATATCCCACGGTGCAGCCCACCCCACCTCCAAGTTGTGTCCAGCATCCATCTGCCTGTCTCTACTTCCTCTGCTGCAGGCTAGCCGGGCCCCTATCATCCCTGCCCAGCCATGCCCCAGCCCATGACGGGTCTTCCCAATACAAGTGATCCTCTCACACTAGGGCAAGAAGGAATCTTTAAACATATAAATCCAATGCTGCCATAGCTCTACCTGAAACTCTTTCAAAACTTCCCCTTCCAGGTCACAAAGACCCCCAACCCTCCCCAGGCCAAAAGAGCCCTGCCTGATCTGATCCCATCTCAGACCACATTTCTCTGGCTCCCTCTGCTCTGGCTACACCGCTTCACCCCGCTCTGTGAATATGACACCTGTCTCCTGCCTCAGGGCCTTTGCACTTGCTGCCCCTGTTGCTCAAAATGCTTTTCTTCCCATCAAGAGTTGTCACATCCTCTGAGACCTTTTCTGATCACTTGAACTAATGTAATCTGTCTCAGCTCCATGCTGTCTTCTTCACTGAACACTGTTGTACCTTCATTTTACATATTTGTCTACGTGCCTGAGTTTGTCATCTGTCCTCCCTAGAGTGTAGGTTCCTAGGGAGGCACCAGTACTGTTTCTCCAGCACGATAGCAGAGTCTGTACCTAGTGGATGTTAATGAATGTGCTGAGTGCATGAGGGTGCAGGCACCCCGCAGGCAGGCCCTTCCTCTACAGCACAGACAGCATTGCCTCCCTGTGCACGGCACGGCTCTCAGAAGATCACAAAGCCACTTTGCAAACTCTGGACCCTCATAACTGCTCAGGCAGGACAGCAAGAGGGGGACTTAGTTCATGGGG